TTACAATACATATGAATATAAGGATCCTGAAGAAAACCTGAAGTGTAAAATTCTTCTTCCCTGCTGTTCATCTCGTATTGTCTTAAAAGAGTTTAAAATTTTAAGGATTTGCATGAATTAAATTTGATTGAGAAGGATTTCTAAAGTAGATTATACATTTTGTTTAATTGAATTTCAGATTTCCCCGTCAACTGATTGGACCGAAGTGCTCGGTCTTAGGTTGATGAGTCGGCTTCTTGTACAAATGCTTCGACGATGTCTCAGCACTTAATTAAAAGTTAATAGGTGGTTGGTGACTAGCAGTGGGATCAAGCTTGATGCGAATTTCGGCTTATTTGGAACTCGTCCGTCAGATGGATTTGCCTTCATTTCTGAGTGAGTGATAATGTCCCCCCCCCAAGGCTATGAAATTCAATTAAATTAATATTACCCATTGCACAAGAGATGGCTCTTGTCGCCCAAGTGGTTTAGTGGATAAGGCTTTGGCGTTTGAAACTATAAGCACTGGGTTCAAGCTTCCGTGGGAACATCATCACTGGCTCACTGGGAAATGCAGGTACATCCAGTTAGCTGACGGGTCCCAAACAGGACGAAATGCACATCAAGCTGGATTCCACTGCTAGTCACCATCTACCAACTCAATTATATTATACCTGTTACATGAAAAATGGAGAGCGCCATTTTGATGTATGTATTTTGCACACTTTATTAAAACTCAGACATATTTAGAAAATAAAAGGTAAATTCAACGAAGAAAATTTTCTTCACTGACGAAATCATCTTCTTTCACAGGCTGTACAGTCGTATTTATATTTTTACCAAAAATGTATAGTAGCCTATTATTGAATAATAGGGGGAGGCGATAACATAAGTGATATAATTACTCGGAAGTGGCTTTAGAATTAAAAAATAAAAGTTGTAAGGTACGTGGTATTCAACGCCACAAACTTAGAAATTTGATAAGGTTAAAATTGTTATTCAGTAGGGAGAAGAAAGGTGGTAGTTGAGTGCCAATTTAACAAGTGTGAAGAGGGTGTGAAAATGTATGAAAGGAATATATGAGAGTGATAATCGTGAATTAATTATCAGAGTAAAGTCTACTTTTTTGTCGGCTGTAGAAATTGATCTGTAGCACTCAGCAGTAAAAAAGGCTCTCTTCAGTGATCTGCATAAACGATTCTCCAGGATCTCACCTACGGTATCACATTTGAATTCAACGTTCATAAATAGCAGTTTCTTCACCATCGTCAGGGTTCTTTCAGGGTTTTTCTTCAACTTCATGTTTTTCACGATAAGTCTAGGAGGATATCCATTCTCTATGAGGACTTGTCTGAGTTGCTCCAGTTTCCTGTTGACTGTATCACTGGAACATATCCTTCTTAATTCTTGAGGATAAGGAGTGGATCGGATTTCTCTTTCTTCTGAAAGGGACCCAACTATGAAAATCTGTGTACTGACCATTCCGTATTGGTTTCCTGTGGAACGATATTTGAAGAGAACCATCAGAACTGGTTTTTAGGAATCACTAAGTTACATCACACGCCAGGATACATTATTGGTTGAGTGGAAGCTGGAAGCGAGAAACAGTGAGTTAGTCGTTGACCTGAGGGTTACACTGACATTTGTCATAACAGCTATTTCTTGCTTGTTTTATTCCTGATTAAGTTATTTTCAGTTGAATGTGTTATCTAAAATAGCTAAGTTTAGACTAAAGCTCCATCTAGACCGTCAATTGGTTATGCAGTGATGACGAGCTGTCGCATGATGAAGTAGTTATTTTCTATAGTTTTTGGTTTGTAAGGATTAGTTATGTTTTACGAGTTGATCACGGATTGATATCAGTTAGAGAACCATTGAAAACCAGGGAGTACTGGACAGCTGCTGTTTCATCCTAGTTTGGGAATCATCGGCAGTACGCACCCACTGGGATTCGAACCCAGGACCTTCCGGTTACAAGGCAAGCTCGTATACCATTCAGCCACTGGGACCCGATTCAATGGCTCGTGAATTCTAACTTCTACCAATTCGTGATTTAGCGCGACCCCAACCATTGTCGTTGGTGGGACATCCATCCACACACGTGACATCTAATTGGACCTCACTGGTCACGACTTCTCACTAGAACTCAGGAAACTCCAACCTGTAGCAAGTCACTAGAGAGCATCAGATTTACTTTCTATAGTTTTTGGTTTGTAAGGATTAGTTATGTTTTACGAGTTGATCACGGATTGGCTGATTACGGTATATATACTACTGATTTGTACCAGTAGTAGTTGGCGACTTTTCACATGATGCAGCATTACCATTTAACCAGATCACAATGGCCTAAGAATTCAATAATTGATTGGTAATTATGGCATCAAGAAAATCGAACTCGGTAATTTTGTATCGGGAAGGTCGATTACTTTTAGCACAGATTGATACACAAATGTTATACAGTATTTGTTCGCTGCACCTTCCTAGATTATACATCTGCTTACTCTAGGTCAGGGAAAATCGTCAACTTGATTGCTTACTGAGGCTGGTGTACCTCAAGGCGCTGTCCTTCCTTCTTTTCTGTTTTATTTCTACGTGCATGACTTGCCTCAATCTGATGATGAAATGAACTTTATTAAGTATGCCGACGATCTAATTATTTCAATGTCTGTTAACTCCAAGCTTGACTGTACTAAGATAAACAGCTTTCTATCAGATATTAGCAAATGATCTTCGTCTGACAGCTTTAAACTAAATCCTTCTAAATATCAGACTGTTAATTTCAGTTTCCAATGTAAAAGAAAGTTAAATGAAGTCGTTGGTTCATATGACCGTTGCAAAATTGTTGATACTGATATAGAAACCAAGTTTGAAGTTAAGTATCTTGGATTAATTCTTTCTTCTGACCTATCCTCGTCTTCCCATATCTTAGCGATTTTTAAAAGAATATTTTCGTCTTACTTTTTACATTAAGAAGTTAAGGCAACCAGGCATAATCCAACCCCTCCTCATCTTACAGTTTATCAACCTGTGCATCTTACCTATTCTTCTGTGCTGTTCACCCTCGCTTATTCTTCCCTGGATTGCTTAAAAAAAACTATTTCATACACTTCTTAGGAATCTGAAAACTGTCAGTCAGTAGGGCAAGTGATTGCATCCCATTGGGCCATATCGTTGACATCATCATTGATAGGCACTTGATTTCATGGAACAAATTTGCTAAAGGAATTTCGTCAGACTCTGAGCATCCACAGCAGCACCCGAAACTCCAACCTTGTGTCTCCTCAGGCAAAACACGAAGTCTTTTCAAAAGACTTTATACACGTACGTCTAAGTATAAAAATTCCACTATGCCATATTTGGCAGTGCGTATTTTATATGATGAAAATAGTGTTAGGCATGAACTAACTAATCTTCTTTGCCGTAGTAAATAAGCCATTTACTCCGCTCTGACAACATCAACCTTAATTGTTATTGTACTCCTTATATTTATAATCTTTTCAATTTTTTTTGTTTTTATTTGTTTGTTTTTTTCATAAGTGTGAACATCATTTAAGCTGTTTTATAACTGTTATTTTATATTTCCCCTCACTATACTAGATCAATAGAACATTAGATTCAATAATCTATAACACGCTAGAATTTCCAAACTTAATCGACAATTTCAGGATTTCATCATGAGCTGACAGTAGTTAGAGAACCATCGGAAAACCTGGGAGTACTGGACAGCTGTTTCGTCCTAGTTTGGGACTCTTCATCAGTACGCACCCACCGGGATTCGATTAATCGACAATAGTGTTTGAAACAAACTCACTTTTATTATTATTGCTTTCATATTTATTATTCACATTTTGTACTTCAAATATTTTTGGCTTTATACCGTAGATGTGGACAAATTCCTCAGGTTACCTTTGTTTTAATTATTAATTTTATTTATATTTTTGAGTAAATCAGATGGAATATTGTGACAAATACTAAGAATTCCATTCTGTAATATAAGTACTGTTTTGGAGTAAAGTAAATTATTGTTATTATTATTATTATCATATAGAGGTAAAATTTGCGAACGAATTAGAACTCAGCGTTTCTTGATTTGCCTTACATTCACAACAGTGGGAAAATTTATTTAAAAACGAGAACAAATAAATCTTAAGAGGATTTCATTATGCGTTGATGTCAGTTGCATAACTATTGGAAAACCTATTGGGAGTGGTGTACAGTGTTTTATCCCGATTTGGGACTCATCATCAGTACCCCCTCCTCCCGCCGTCATGTTTTGAAACCATGACCTTCCAGTTACAAGGCGAGCTTGCAGACCATTCAATCACTGGGACCTGGTTTAGTTATTGCTGCATGAATCCCAACTGCCGTTAATTTACGATCTGTAGCACTACCACTAGGATATGTCATCGACTAGTATTTTTAATCAATCGAATCTCCATAAACCAACACTCGAATATTAGTCTAATGTTTCCTTGCGACTGGAATTACCTGTGTTCTAGTGGAAAGTCATTACCAATGGAATGCCGCAGGTAGTGTGTGAGGACAAATACTCGCCGAAGGTGATAGTGACTAGTGGCCCCACAGTACATGCCACAAACTGGCAAAAGATGGGATTCATAGACAAACGGTTGGATCGTGTCTCAGTCGCTGAATGGTCCAAGATTTTGCTATGTAACCCGAAGGTCCTGGATTTGAACCTCAGTGATGAGTACTAGGCTTACGAAACAACTATCCACTAATCCAGTACTGGCTGAAATCTCTTGACAAATCAAATTCCTGAAAAGTAACACTAGAATACCAAATAAATACATCAGACTGTCAGAAAACTAAAGCCTCCCTGTCGATAGATAGTCTCTTCCAGCTAGATACAGAGTTTTGTGTAGTATAAGTACGCCTATCTGCTTAATAACCACTTTACAGAACAAACGTTTTCACGACAATGTTTTAGGTTTCTCAGGAACCGAAAAGTTAAGCGATATTCATAGAATAAATAAACTACTTTCTAAGAAATCCAACAACATCGTACTCACAGAATCCTTTTATTTAACAAGCATCTACAAAACGCCTTCTCGCTTCGTTAGACATAAGTTACAACTCCAATTAAATAAATAAATAAATTCCTTTTAACCAAATGTAAATGTATTTCCCAACTATTTACAATAATATTTCAGTTATTCATACGAACTGTGATCAAGATTCAGTTAGTTTATTATATTTATTTGTTAAAAAATATACAGATATATTCTTTGTTTAGACTTTATTTTATATGTCTGTTTTTTAAACAGGTATTTCGCGCCAAATATTTGAATTTATGCGTCCGGAAGCAAATTAAAACAAGCTTTATAGATAAGAAGGTGAATGTTGAAGAGGAAATCAATTGATTCAATGTTCAATATTACACAAGATTCATACTTTGTTTTAGCTTAGGGAGAGCGGGAGAAAATCATTTTTAGAAGGAAAAAAAACAAAATTAGCAATGAAATAATCAGAAAAGAAAAAAAATGAAATCATGTGTTAAATAATCTATTTTTGAATTTGTTTAACTCATCTGTGTGTATCGTCTTATGACACATATATGTATATTTGTTATCCATATTTCTATGGAAACGTAGAATAAATACATCATTTCAATCAATAAAAAGTCGAATAATTTCTTATGTTCATATTTCAAATTAAAATAAAAATATTGTGGAACCTAACATGTATGTATTGAACACATTGAATCATCATCTTCGGCGGTTGTTAATTTAAACAAAACTTCCCTCTGTATTTAAAGATTTATTCACAATACCATTGCCTTTATCTGTAAACAGACATTGTGTTTCATTCATAATAATGGTGGGCTCTTTTTTCGGTGAAATTAAAGTGACCACTTTTGGTTGACGTGTTGATTTGAGTAGTTTTTTATCTTCGGATGACTTACTCGGTGATTTATTATTACCGCTATTCGAGTTTTTATTATTACTATTATTATTATTATGATCATTGTGATTACGATTACAATTTATCATATTATGCATACAATCAACTGTGGAACAATCCGAGACAGGATTAAGTTTGCTCAGCTTTGTTACCGTTTTATTGATCTGGAAAAAGTCATTATCACTTCTGTGGATGTCATTTGACAGGTAAAAGTCATCCGACTTTGACGTGTTCTCAGACGACCCTGTTTTATTATTATTATTATTATTGCCTTCTGGGTGTTGATTTGATGTTAGGGGTTGAAGTTGGAAAAAGTCTTGAAATAGACTACTGTTATTATTGTTATTAGTAGTAGTATTATTATTACAACCATTATTAGTAGTATGAATATTTTTAAAAGTACTATTATTATTGTTACCATTAGTTTTAAATGGTTTAAAACGAACTTTACAATTTAATTGATCGTATGGATTTGAAAAGGCTTGACTCGATTCCTCTTCCGTTTGATTATGCTTAATCCAACTCGAAGATAGTGAAGTGTTTGGATTAGGCGAGTATTTCTCTTCATCACGATGGAATGATGTCAGCGTTTGATATTCACTTCTATTCGGTAAGTGTACACAGTTGACAGGATCATTATTGGCTTCGATTTCATCTTGTGTCAATTGGAAACGGACTAGACGACTGTCTACAGAAAAACAAACAAACAGGAAGAACATTTAGATAACTGATAGTTTTCTGAAGGTAAAAGGCTAGATTTGATAAGTATTCCCTGGACATTAGAAAAGAAAGTCAAACTCCAGAGTCCAGACTAAGTGATGTGATCTTGGCGATTCGTGTCTCATTCAAAATCTTGAAATGAATGATTCCATGGATCGTATAAATTTCTAAGCATCTTAAAATCAATTTTAGCAACTTGTTTAAAAATTGACTGACTCACCTGTTTGAGAAGTGTTTCTCCTTTACTGGGACTTTCACTTGTGAACTGTAAATGTGAACTATTTTCTCATGTTTATTAATGAGGTTATGCTGCGGACTCTCAGAGGTATACTTATTGGATAACAGACGCACGGATACACCATGAAATGCAAAAACCTAATTAAGGTATTTTTGGAGATGTCGTTTAAGAGTTCTGAGAATACCTAACATTTTACAAAGTCTAATTGATGGATAGTGACTAACAGTGGAATCTAGGGAGTGCATTTCGTCGTGGCTCAAAACGTCTATTGGATAACGCTTTGGTGTTTGAAACTATGGGCAGTCAGTTCGAACCTCGGTGGTGGGAACATCATCGCTCACTTGGGAATGCAGGTACATCCAGCTGACGAGTACTAAATAGGAAGAAATGCGCATCAAGTTGGATTACACTGCTAGTCTCCATCCACGAATTAACCTATAATTACATATCAGGACACCGTTGAAGCATCTGAACAAGAAGCCGACATGTCAACCTGAGACTGAGCACTTCGGTCCAATCAATCGACAGGAAAATCTAAAATTCAATTTTATAATTCCTGATTGGGCTTATTTAGATTTAACTTAACAAACATAAACTAAATAAAATTATGAAAGAGAAGGCGGGACGTTTTGGCTGATTAACATGCTACAACTGCTGATATATTTATAGGCAATGACCAAGAATATCCGCCCAATGTAAATCAAACAACGGAGAAACTGAGATATCTCCTGAATAAAATGTGTGCCTTGTGGCCTACTTGGATAATTCTTCCACATTTGGAAACCATAAGATGTCGAACTTAAGTCTCTTTGTGAAAATCACCAGTTACGTCGTACGCAGATGTTTCCAGATGATGAGTCTCAAATAGGAGAAAACGTGGGCCATGGATCCTACTGCTAGCTATATTTAACCAAATTACTTCATCTATTTTGATTGTAATTCTTCCTAACTAGTTAGCTCTTTATTTAACATTTTAATGGAAAATATTTCAACATTAGACTAGGCTGCATTCACCAGCACCTCATAATGGCATAAGAAACCCTAAGTCACACCCTATATCAGTAGGGATATGAGCAGTGTTAACTAAGTTCGACCCTTACCGAGTAACAATATCTTTTAATAAAAGTGTGTGCCCGTATGGCTTTCTAGCCTGATGACATTTGAGACGTTGGGTCCTGAATTTCAGTCTCAGTTGCAATACTAATTTCCTCAGTGGGAGGCAGGAACATCCGGCTGGTGAACTTCAAATAGAATAGGATAGATGTCCTACATTCTATTACTAATGACGATTTATCAAATAACAATTCTCTTCTTCCGTATCTATATCATGGCTGACACACTGTCAGTGTTGGTGAACGTTGAATAGTTTGTTTGTTTGTTTGTTTGAAGTGGTGTCCATTTGGCGGGAGACAAGAAGGCCGTCACTGTTTAATCGTGTACTGGTTGGCAGAAGATTGGATAAATACCATCAGAAGTATTTGTGTGCATTATATTAACGTTCATATACAGACTTAGTACTGATTAACCATTGTAAATCTGTTTCACTATAACCTGAAGAATAAATAGTCGTGTTGCCTAAACGTTTTCTGTTGTTGCACAGTGTCGGTTACCTTGCATAGTCTTCTACGCTCTAGGCTTAAACTTCTGAAACCAGCAGCAGGTCGAGGATCTCAGAGTTCTGGATATGAGAGCCTAAGAAGATCGATCCATAGAAAAGCTACTTGAAATGGCCAGCTAACAAGCTTCTATAGCCTGGTACCCATTAAAACAAAAGCGGAATTCAGATAAATCACTTCCCACTCGCATCCGATGCATCTGCAGTTCCGACGTTCTGGAAACAGAATTAGATATTCTAGGAGAAATCTTCATCCAACATGGATACCCATAAGATTCATTGACAAAAATATCAAACCAAGAATTTGAAGAAATGAAACTTCACTTGCGCCGAAAAAGAAACTCTACATGAACTTGGATTTCAATGGTGGTTTAACAAGCGATATCCTCAAGAGAAGGATCATATGATCTATGAGAAGATCATTCTTTGTAGCAAACATAAGAATGGTGGTTTCCAGTCGCACACTCGTCTGCAGAAGCCTCAAGAACAAAATGCCGCATCTCACCACTTCCATGTGCATATATCAGTTCACCTACTACTGTTCAACGCACATTCTGTCCAAGAGGATTCAAGAACACTATACAGCATGGTTGCGAAAAGGCGATAGTGGTTCTATAAGCAGTACGATAATTGAAAAACTGGTTAGCACTGATCATTCCATCTCAGCAAACGCCTCCTGCTTCAAAGTAATCTACAGAGTCAAGAATAACCAACCACAGGCAATACAGTTTTGTCATCTTTGTATCGCTGAAGCTCTGGTCATTCACATAAAAAAACCGGAGTTGTGCATACAAAAGGGAATTACTCAACCACTTACATTATCATGGAAACAACTTTGCTGATTTTTGATGACTTAATTAGGTTTGTTTGCTTGTTTCTTTAATTGCTTATAATTCTTGTATATTCATTTAGAACTCTTACTTAATTGGGTATTCTCTACTTTGCCTCAGTGTGTATTCTGAGTACGACTGTTTCTTCAAATTATTCATATTGTTGCGTAGCTCCTTTATAACAATTGTTTGTGACGACTCAATACTTCTGTTACTACATTAGTTTCATTAACAGCCAATTTTCTTGACCGATATTGTATAACGTAACTCCAATTACCAATCTTCACCTGTTTAGCTAAAATAACCATAACCAATTGTATTTTTGTCTAACAAACTTGATGTACACATACATACAAAATAACATTATAGATAAGATTTTATTTTGATAAATCGCACAGTGTTTACAGTTATATGAACTGATGACGTTTCGAGCACAATTTATTGCTCATAATCATATCAAGGTAATCACACGACTTCCTAAATTCATTTATATAGTTCCATTGTTTTTCTCTTGATTTTCACTTGATTTGATTGGTAATAGTATTTTTTTCCATATTTCAGGTATGAGTGACGAGTCATTCCTATTGCGTGTGTTGGGTGTAGACTAGATGAACCAGGCAGGATTCAGTAATCAACCTCTCTCTCCACCTACCTAGATTACTTTTTAGAATTTTAACCCTCTCACACCCTATTGTGTGGTTGTGTGTTAATACATGCAGTGCAATGTAGTGCTGAGCTTTTTTCTAAATTACTTATCTTCTCGGGTTCAACCATTCTTACCTTAGCTAAATTCTTATGCTGTGACAATCTGACTACCCCTGACCTACTAGTTTGACCCAGTTTACACAATTAGACAAAATAATATTATTTACAAAATACCATGCAATGACTGTGAGGTCAACTACATAGGTCAAACTAGTAGGTCAGGGGTTGTCAGATTGTCAGAGCATAAGAATTTAGCTAAGGTAAGAATGGTTGAACCCGAGAAGATAAGTAATTTAGAAAAAAGCTCAGCACTACATTGCACTGCATGTATTAACACACAACCACACAATAGGGTGTGAGAGGGTTAAAATTCTAAAAAGTAATCTAGGTAGGTGGAGAGAGAGGTTGATTACTGAATCCTGCCTGGTTCATCGAGTCTACACCCAACACACGCAATAGGAATGACTCGTCACTCATACCTGAAATATGGAAAAAAATACTATTACCAATCAAATCAAGTGAAAATCAAGAGAAAAACAATGGAACTATATAAATGAATTTAGGAAGTCGTGTGATTACCTTGATATGATTATGAGCAATAAATTGTGCTCGAAACGTCATCAGTTCATATAACTGTAAACACTGTGCGATTTATCAAAATAAAATCTTATCTATAATGGAATTATACTCTACCACAGTGCCCAAGTTTTATACTTATACAAAATAACACTTATGTAGGTATATGTGATTTTACAGGTAAGAAAATGAATTCGCCGCCAAAAAGAGACTCTTCACTGAACTACGTGTTTTGTTTTCGTCTGAATTTTTCACATATGTTTTGAGTCTATCTGATGGATGAAAACAGGCCATGGAACCCAGGATACGGATTTTATCAACTTGTCAGCTGGATATACTTTTAATCCTCAGTAAATTATGATGTTCCCAGTGAGTCTTAAAAGTAAACAATTTGTCAACAAAGACTAAATATTCTCAGTTCAATATAGCCAATACACGTAACATTTAAAACACTTTCTACAGAATAAAATTGATGATGATGACAATGACGATTTTTAAATATTCCGCTAAATGAACATTGGAGGGAAATTCAACTTATACCGAATAACTATAAGCAAATCTTTCATTCATTTCTCTTGTTTGTTTCATTTACCATCGAAAAATGTAAAATTGTAAAGTTGTACACAAAAAAAAATATTTCCATTTTGTAGTGAAAATCCCTGTTTCACGAAATTCGATAAATATTTTGTACATACGTTTATATCTGCCTTCTACTACACTTCTACTACGACTACAATTACTGCTATGAATAGTTCTCTACCCCGTTTGCTCATTGTCGTTTTTTTTGTTTTTGTGATTTCCGTGACAGTTTAACATGAAATGAATATTATAGCGCTTATTTTGTGTTTCTGAGATGAAACAAGCGCATACTTTGACTTAATTTCCTCTTTTTATATATACATTTACATATTCTCAGTATGATACAGCTGACGAATATGATAATCAGAGAGAAAAGTAGTGTAGCATTTACTCACTGAGATAATTTGCTTCGATTACTTAAACGC